AGATATTAAGACATTCTTAGCGTGTAAACCACCAACTTTTTCTGGAGAAAGAGATCCGGTGAAAGCAATGTGCTGGATTAAGGAGATAGAATCTGTGTTCAACACCATTCGGTGCCCAGAAAAAGATAAAGTATGATTTGATGTATCAGTATTGAAGTCAAATGTCTTATTCTGGTGGGAAGTAGAATCGTCTACCAGAACGGATGTCTTACAGACTATATCATGGATAGARTTCGTGGAACGATTTAAAAATCAGTTCTGTCCTAAAACGGCTGTGAGACAAATGGAGGAAGATTTCTTGAAGCTGGAACAAGGAAATAGAACAGTACGGGAGTATACTGAAAAATTTATTGAATACTCTCGTTTTGCTGATCATTATGTTTCAACCGAATCAAGGAAAATAGAAAGGTTTATTTGGGGTCTGAAGCCTTCAATTAGAGAATTCGTTATTGCAATGAACCCCAATACCTTTCCATTGACAGTAGAAGCGGCTGAGGTGACTGAAAGAAACAAGAATAGACAGTCAGAAGGAAAGATTGTTGAGAAAAGGAAATGGAAAGGACCTTCGTCTTTTCGAGGACCCAAAACTGTGAGATATGACAACCGAACTGAACAAAAGAACAGTGCGAAAGTTCATCAAGGTGAGGGTAAGATGGATCCGAGGAAATGTTATAAATGTGGTGAAGCAGGTCATTTATCCAGAAATTGCCCGACCAACAAAAGGTGTTTTAATTGCAATTCTCCGGATCATATTCGACCGAATTGCCCTTTGCTAAGAAACCCGCAATTGACAATGGGAGGTAGTGCATCGAACACTCGGGGAAGACCTACTGGGAACCAAGGTGGACAAGGAGGGGCGCGGGGACGATCCTTCCAGATGACCAAAAATGAGGCAGAAGTATTGCCGGATGTAGTAACAGGTACATTTCTCTTGAATTCAATACATGCTAAAGTGTTATTTGACTCTGGTGCAAACTTTTCGTTTGTATCATCATTGTTTGCTCA